AACAAACTGGGATTCAGCCTGACTATTTTGCAAAAACAAAATACGAATGGTATCCCAAATAAACCGCCAACACTACTGAAGTTAAAAGATACTCCAAAAAAATTAATGAACCTGGGAAAACATAGAAATATTGATACCTTATGGCGTATACGTTTTAAGTAGTGCGACATCAATCATACGCTATCTGGATTCAAAATTAAATTTTACGTCTGTACTTAAAAATACTAAATAAATAACCCTTTTCCCACACATTTTTATTGAATATAATTCTCTTCCATTATACATTTTTGTTCGACCAAAACATTGCGAAATTTTTTAAACTAAACTTTATTAAAAATGATTTATTTATACGATAAAGCTGAAGATTTTTTCAACTTCACCGAGAACCTGTGATCGTTTGTTGGTGTTTTCTTGCTAATTTGATGACTTCTTCAGTCGAAGATTGTAAATTGTTAGTTAATTTTTTTTTTCATATTTCATACCCTTCACATAGATTTTTTTGGGGAATAAAAATTTAAGTCAAATATAGGCAAATTTTTTGGGTTTGACAACTATCACAAACTGTCATTTGGTGCGTATGCTCAATAAATTTTATTTGATTGAATTTTTGTAAAATCAACTATAGAAAGGAAAAAATGAAATTCGGTTTTTGTAATTTATTTTTTAGGGGAAAATAATATTTAATATTTTTTCTGGGTCGTTGATGCGTATAATTAATATGTTTGAAATATTAATCATTCGCCCTTTAAAATACTTGTATTATAAAACATTTGAATTTAATTAAGAAATTACTAAATATTTCGATATTTCCTTTATTCTTTTTTCATATCCATGTAAACATATCGATTCTCCTAAATATTTAACCATGTAGACAATTACAGTTAGAATCTGTAAGTAATATGCATTCATGGTCAGGATATTCGTCAGTTTTAACAGCCAATTTGATTTTGACCAATCAATGAGTCACGTTTTGACTTATAGCTTAGCTCATCACAGTCTTTTTGTAACTGCTCACGACAGACGACCGGAAATCGGTCTATATTGGAGTGTATATATCTTATATATTTTTATGTAGAATTATTTCAGGAAATTTTAAAATATTTCAGAAAAACTACAATGAAATATCCTATTTCATTGAATCACTTATATGTCACCTATAAATTATTATTTGTGAAAAACGTCAGGTCATAGATATCTGTTCCTACACAATTCATATTTTCAATACCTAATAATTGTTTTTTATGTAGATCGAGAAAAAAAGTATTCGAAAATCTGATCCATCCGGGGGAATTTAGAACAGAATCTTTTCGATTATAAATTGATTTTGGTTTGCTCTTCTTAATTTTCGTACATTTTGGCTCACTGAAGTGGTAAATGAAGCGTATGCTAAATGACACAACTCATTACCTTAGTCTCCATGTTATAAATATAAAATATTTTAAATATTACATTTTTTTGCGAAAGAAACGAAGTTATTATGAAAAATACCAATTATTGTTCTTCCCTGACATAAATATCAATATTGAATGTTTAAAAAAAGTAATTTGTTTTTAGTTTCTGATTTTAGTGTTGTCTTTCTATACATTTTGAAGTTTTTTCCACTTTCTTTCCAATTTGTATGTATAGGTTTTTTCAATTTTTAGTTTAAGATTTTTTTCTTTTGTTACTAATTTGAGTTTCTATTGTTGTTTCGTTTAGTTAGCTTCATGGTCTATTTTGGTTTGTAATGAATTCCTAAAAATTTACTTAGTATGATTTCTTTTTATTCTTAAACATATATAAATATTATTTATACAGTTTTTAGTATTGTTTTTGTTATTGTTATTTTTTTTTTTTTTTTTTTTTTTGTAATCACACCACAGCTGTTAGATGGAAAATTATACAATTTAGATTTATGAAAATGTTGGAATCTGTAAAAAAGAGTTCTGAAATGGTAAAAGTGAAATGGACCAAAAACATTATTTTTGTCGGTTTTTCTGGTCGCTCCAGAGGCCGCAATTACGGCCCAAACATCGCGAATTTTTGCATATAGAAGAGGATCGGGCCAAAGAATAAGCATGTCTGTTTTGATAAAGATTGGTCAATATTTAGCGGGTCAAATGGACGCTGATTTTTGTGTGGAAAATATATATTCGGGAAGTGGATAGTATATCCAAGAGAAGTGGTTTAACATTAAATTGATACCAATTGTCGTGTGTACTCGGATGTGAGAGTTACACTTAAGTATTTACAGGTCCTTACGTATTCATATATTATTTTGTAAACCATTACCAAACTAGAGGGCGGAAATATAGCGCGGATCGCTTTGAAATTTTCCATGAGGATCCAGGTATGGTCATGGACCACGCCTATAATTTTCGGTGATGATCAGATAATAATATTGGGATGAAGTGACCCGAACATTTAATTTTTTGTGTTTTTTATGAGTCGATTTATAGGCCACTACTGAAAGCCGAACATCACAACACAACCCTCGGTGAAGGGTATCTGGACAAGTAATTAGAAGAGCTTTACTGAATATTGGTAATATTTGTAGACGTCTAGTCGGTCAAGGGGGGTGCATATATCCCGAAATATTGCCAAGCTAACAAGTGAAAAATCGATAAGTTCGGCCGGGCCGAACTTTGGATACCCTCCACCATAGATATACTATCAGGTACTTGAAATGAAAATAAAGGGAACATACCAAAATATCGATCCACTTCTTCTGGTACGTCCCACACAGGGGCTAGGCCTAAGCCTAAAACCGGGCTATTGTTAATATATAGTACATTATCGAAACTTACGTTCAATCCTCCGCAGGTGAAATGATTACCACACAGTCTTAGAACCAAATTCAAAACGCGGAACAAATCAGGTAACAAATCAAATCAGGACTACCTCAAAAAGGGGGCGAATATTAATAATGTTTGGTAGCGAGATTTGTTAGACTACGAAATACCAAATGTCAGGGAATTCGGTTGAAAAACGCCCTCGAGAACCCCAAAATACCGAAAATTGGGGGTACCCTTATATGGGGGCTTCCCGAAAAAATGGACCTATATTAATAATTTTTTGTGGAGATATTTTGTACCTATTAAGCACTCAAAATACTAAATAACAGCTAATTCGGCGAAAAAATACGATCAAAACCCCCCAAAATACTGAAAATTAGGAGGTACCGTTATATGGGGGCTACCAAGTGGAAAGTGGACCTATATTTATAATTTTTTGTGGAGACATTAAGTACCCAACAAGAACCTAATGTAGCAAATTTCAGGGAATTCGGTTGAAAAATTAGCTCAAGAACCCAAAATACCGAAAATTGGAGGGTACCCTTATATGGGAGCTACCAGAAAAAATGGACTTATATTTATAATTTTTGGTGGAGACATTTATTACCCAATAAGAACCCAATGTAGCAAATTTCAGGGAATTCGTTTGAAAAACGCTTTCAAGAACCCTAAAATACCGAACATTTAGGGGTACCCTTATATGGGAGCTACCAGAAAAAATTTACCTATATTTATAATTTTTAGTATAGAGATTTGCTACCCAATATTTCCTACCGAATTTCAGCGAATTCGGTCGAAAAATGCGATCAAACCCCACAGAATACCGCAAAATTGGGGGTACCCTTATATGGGGGCTATCCGAAAATATGGATCGATATTAATAATTTTTAGTGGAGAGATTTGCTACCCAATAAGAACCCAATGTAGCAAATTTTAGGGAATTCGGCTGAAAAACGCGCTCAAGAACCCCAAAATACCGAAATTTGGCGGGTACCCTTATATGGGAGCTATGCCTAAACGTGGACGGATATATCCCATCATCGAACTTGACCTGCCTGCAGACAAAAGACAACCCTATGCAAAATTTCAGCACCCTATCTCAATTCCTTCAGAAGATAGCGTGATTACAACAGACGGACGGACATGGCTAGATCGTCTTAGAATTCTACCCTGATGAAGAATATATATACTTTATAGGGTCAGAAATGAATATATCGATGAGTTACAAACGGAATGACAAAATTAATATACCCTCCATACCATGGTGGAGGGTATAATATTGTAAGCCCAAGCGTATGAGTGTTATAGGTTGTGACATCAATTATACGCAATGTATGCTGTAATCGTTTTTGAAATTGAATAGCCAACCAATTTTTTATTTAAAAAATAATAAATTTATGGGAATTTTAACAAACGGAATTTTTACGGCCGTTATCTTCAATTAAATTATTTGAAATTTAAAACATTTAAACTTTTAGCACTTTTGAACTCCTGTTTTACAACTATTTAATTTTTTTTTTTACATTTTATTTAATTTTTAAACTCAGCCATATAATTTTAATTTGTATGTTGTATAAGATTTTTCTCTCTGTAGCTGCTCTCAATCACTCAGTATCAACTTCGCAACTTGCTTAACATTTCAATAGTTTGCATTCCGCTTATTAAATATAGTAATTATTATTTGTTTGTTGTCAACTAAAACTAAAACATTAATACTAATATGCTCAAAAAATAATACCTTAAAATACTAATAGTATTTTTGTTTTAAGATTCCTTCTATTTATTTTCTTTCCACAATAATTTCCATCTTCCAAAAATATGCTCTGTTGTCATCTACCTTATATTCATTTTCATTTTGTTTCTACTCTCACATCATCACATGTAGTTTTTAACAAGTTTCTTATCTCAACTGATTTTGCTTCAGCATTAGTTAATTTAATAAATTTTTGTTTTAACTTAAATTTTATATTGGCTTTAGTTTTAACAATTTTCTTACTTACGTGTTTAGTTTTCTTTTGTTTTTGGTTTTTATGCTTTTTTAATTTCTTTTTGCGCTTTTTGGTTTTCCTCCATTGAATTTAATGTTTTGGTTTGTATGACTACTTCATCATGATGATTATTGGTTTTGTAAGCCTATGGATTTTTGTTGCATGTTTCTATAAAGAGTTTCATAATTTTGCTGCTGCTGTTGTTGTTGTTGCTGCATTTGTTGTATGGATAGCTGCATCATCTTCTGCTGCTGTTCCTGCAGTTTGTGTCATTTTTTGTAGTTTTTCTTTTTAAGAAATTTATTGACCACTTTACGAAATAGATTCGGTTTTATTCATAAATACCCCAGGGTCGCATAGGTCTTGGTGAAGGTACCATCACTGGTTGTCACATTCCTGTAAAGATAAACCACACTATATTTTTATATATTTGAAATTAGATTGTTTGCTAGGTGTCGGTGTCGGATCAATGGTGGTGGTGGTTGGATAATTTACAAGCGAATTCTACAAAGGAAGATAAATAACTTAAAAAAATTATAAATTAATAAAAAAAACAGTAAGGAACGTAGTAAAGGCGGACTGGGCCGACTATTGTATATCAATGTTCCCTCGAAGGAACTTACTAATGCCCTTCTGCAACCTATGATCAATTTAATTTCATTCGGGCAGGTTTAGAGTCGTCTGTGTACCATGGGACAAATTTATGTAAAACGATTTATACCAAAATTGATACATGCTATTCGGTACGATGCACTGTTAAAAATTTAATCTCAATCAGACACACGTTCGAAATACATATGGAAGCTATGGCTGCATCTGCACCAATTTCAACAAAACGCAATAACGTCATTCAAGTCCCAATTTGATACAATGTTCAACATTTCGTGTTAATCGGACAAACATTAGGAGTTTTGAGCGTCATTTATGTAAAAACGGAGGAATAAATATGAACATGTGGGATCTACATAGAAATCTGAACCGATCTAAAACTTACCACACATCATTCACGACACAATGTAGTACGATATGACAAATTTCGTGCAAATACAAGGATATATAGGAACTTTGGTGCGCTATTTACCGAAAATCGGACGAAAATATATATGGGAGCTATATCTAAATCTGAACCGATTTTTACGAAATTTTACACACGTCGTTCTAGACTTAATTCTGTACTCTGTACCAAATTTCGTGCAAATCGAAGGACTTTGGTGCACTAATTACATAAAATCGGACGAAAATATATATAGGAGCTATATCTAAATCTGAACCGATTTTCACGAAATTTTACACACGTCGTTCTAGACTTAATTCTGTACGCTGTGCCAAATTTCGTGCAAATTGAAGGACTTTGGTGCGCTATTTACCTAAAATCGGACGAAAATATATATGGGAGCTATATCTAAATCTGAACCGACTTTCAGGAAATTTTACACACATCGTTCTAGACTAAATTCAGTTCAAATTTCGTGAAAATCGAAAGATATTAAGAGACTTTGGTGCACCATTTACATTAAATCGGCCAAAAAAATATATGGGAGCCATATCGAAATCTGGACCGATTATCAGGAAACTTAACACACATATTTCTAGGCCTAATTCATAATGCTGTGCTAAATTTCGTGCAAATCGAAAAATATATAGCGACTTTGGTGTACCATTTACCTTAAATCGGACGAAACTATATATGGGAGCTATATCTAAATCTAAACCGATTTTCACGAAACTTACATCACATACATAAACACACATCATTCTAGACCTAATTCATTACGCAGTGCCAAATTTCGTGCAAACCGTAAGATATTAAGGGACTTTGGTACACCATTTACTTTCAATCGGACGAAAATATATATGGGAGCTATATCTTAATCTGAACCGATTTTCAGGAAACTTAACACACATCTTTCTGGGCCTAATTCATTACGCTGTGCTAAACTTGGTGCAAATCGAAAGATATTTAGGGACTTCGGTGCACCATTTACCATAAATTGGACGAACATATATATGGGAGCTATATGTAAATCTGGACCTATTTTCACGAAACTTAGCACACATCATTCTAGACTTAATTCAGTACGCTATGACAAATTTCATGCAAATCGAGAGATATTTGGGGACTTTGGGGCACCATTTAAATTAAATCGAAAATAAATATGGGAGCTATATCTAAATCTGAACCGATTTTCAGGCAATTTAACAAACATCATTCTAGGTTTAATATATTAAGCTATGCCAAATTTCGTGCAAATCGAAAGAAATAAAGGGTCTTTTGTTTTCTATTAACAAAAAATCGGACCAAAATATATGTAGGACCTATATCTAAATCGGAGCCGATTTCCACGAATCTTAAAACACATCATTCTAGGCTGAATTCAGTTCGCTGTGCCAAATTTCGTACAAATCGAAAGAAATATAGGACTTTTTGTTTTCCATTTACATTAAATCGGAGAAAATATATGTGGGAGTTATTTCTAAATCTGGCCCGATTTTCACGAAACTTAACACGCGCCTATCTAGACTGAATTCAGTACGCTATGCCAAATTTGATGGATTTCGAAAGATATATAGAGACTTTGGTGCACCAATTACATAAAATCGGACAAAACTATATATGGGAGCTATATCTAAGTCTGAAACGATTTCCACGAAAATTAGCACACATTATTCTGGACCTAATTCAGTACTCTATGCCAACATCCGTGCATATCGAATTATATATAGGGACTTTGGTGCACCATTTACCTTAAATCGGACCAAAATATAAGTGGGACCTATATATAAATCTGAGCCGATGTTCACGAACTTTAGCACACATCATTCTAGGCTTAATTCAGTACGCTGTGCCAAATTTCGTGCAAATCGAAAAATATATAGGGACTTTGGTGCATCATTTACATTAAATCGGACGAAAATATATATGGGAGCTATATCTAAATCTGAACCGATTTTCACGAAACTTAGCACTCATCATTCTAAGATTTATTGAATATGTCATTCCAAATTTCGCGTAAATCGAAAGATAAGTAGGGTCTTTGGTGCACCTTTGGGAGCTATATCTAAATCTGAACCGATTTTTCCCAACATTAATAGGGTTCGTCCTTGGGTCAAATGAATGAGCTGTGCCAAATTTCATTTAAATCGACTCAGAAAGGGATTCTATGCATATTCTCAAAAGGAACCATGGGTCTATCTCTATTTATGCTCTCTCAGCCTCTAGTCCGAAACTAGAAGAGTCGCAACCTTTAGTCCTTCAAGTGAAACCGGGGTCTGAAACCATCTTTGCATAGAATATTTAATGTAGGTCTATTTTTTCAATAGTCCCCGACTTGTTTTGTATTTTCAAGATTTTATTTGCATTTTTTCACTGAAGTAGCTGTAATTTTGATTTCCTTCGATTTCCATATAATGAGCCCGCCTCATTTTGGGTATTTGAAGAGTTTTGTAGCACTTCCCAAAGAAGTGGCTGAATTTAAGGAGTATTGATTCCTGCCTAATAACCAAATTATATCCATATATTTATATCCTCAGCCATACGGCTATTGAGGGTAGATACACATTTCTGCGGCAAAATATGGCTCATAAAAATATTGGTTTATACCAAATGTTTTTGGGACCTGTCTGTCCATCCGCCTGTCGGGCTGTCTGGTTCACACCATAACTCTTGGAGAGGGTAAAAAATTTCATGCAAACTTTGCACATCATAATTTGTCTTCCAAACTTAAATCAAGTTCGAAGATCGGACTCAATCCCAAAATCCTGCTTTAAAAATTAGCTTCAAACAAATAATAAAAATATTTTTTTTAAAAATGTGTCTTCAAAATTTCAGCCTCAACTACTACCAAGCACACCTACAGCAGCTACTCCTCCACACATTGAACGCAAACAAACAGCAACTGAACATTCTAAGCGAAAAAAATAAAAAAAACATTCTTTATACTCACTCATCTTCCCAGGGGCAGACGGTGGTTAGATCCGCTTCCGGTTTGGCACTACTAGTCTCTTTAACCACTGTCGTAGCAGAGGCCACACCCGCCGCCGATGTACTAGCCTTCTCTTTTTCCTTTTCCTCACCCGAAATCGATTTCTTTGCATCCAGATGACGTTTCTTGCGCTTCTTGCGTGCCTCTTCGGCTGTGGTTTTCACAACATTGGTATGTGGAAGTTTGGATGGTTTCTCTGCCACGGGGGTGGTGGTTGCGGTTGCTGTCTCTTTGGGTTTCAATTCTTCGCTAAATTCCTCATCAACGGTATCGGTGTCCATTTCGGCTAGAGGTGCCATTGAGGGAGCTGGGGTGGGTGCTGGTGGTATATAACCCACGGTGGATTCCGAATCGGCAATATCAAAATCGTTTTTACCATCATCACCGAATTCGAGACCTTCTTGATATTCATCGGTGGTAGGGGAAAGTTCTTCGGTTGGTGACGTTGGTGGAAGCTCTTCTTGTGTTGTTGTTGTAGGTGGTGGTGGTATTGGTTGTTGTGGCAAATCCTGTTCTTGTAATGGTGATTGCTTTTCCTCTCCAGTTTCCTGTGGCTCAGGGGCAATTTCTTTTTCAGGACTTTGTTTTGCCGAGCCAGAGGGAGTCTTTTGTTTACTGGGGGTATCTTCTACCATCTCCGTATCTCCAGCCAAACATTCCCCACTTCCATGTGGAGGAGATATATTTTCACCTCCATCACCTCCCCCATTATCCTCATCGACCTGTATTGTGGGTGGAGACATTTCCAAACATTCCTGGCTTTCACATAATTTCTCATAACCCTCCGACGATTCGATCAATTCAATTTGTACCTCTTGTATTTCAGAATCCACTTCGGCTTCAAATTCCGCCTCATTGCCCCCCGAACGTTCTTCTGGCTCGTTGCCATGCAACGAATCACTGGGAGAACTTTCCCGAGGACTGTCATCGGCATGACATGTCTGGGTTTCGGCACTAACCAATGCTGCCGGTTGTTCATCGACCGGGGTAACTGGTGGTGGTGTCACCTTGGTCACCGGTGGTGGTGTGGGTGTAGGATTTGGTGTCGGCAGTACTGCTGAGCCCGATGACTCACTATTACGTTCCGATATCGCCAGCTTATTCAATTCCTCTTCCACTTCAGCATCCGAGGATGAAGGTGGATCTTTGGTTACTACGGCGGTGGCGGCAAAGTTGGGACCCTGTATGGGTGCAAAGAGAGCAGAAATATTACCCTGTTGTAGTGTCACCGTGGGCGATGGTGTGGTTGAAATTTTGGCACCCGTGGACGGTCGTCCTGTAGGAAATTCTGAAATGCGGCTGTGGGGAAAGGGATATTAAGAGGAAAATATTAAATTTGGGGAACTTTTAATTTCTTTCGGATGACCTTACCTCGGTGTAAAGGACACTGATGCTCTTCGTTGTTCGGTGAAATTTGGTAGTAAACGTTTCATGCCCGATGTCTCACCGCTATCGACAGTATTTTGATGACGTATGCCAAGATTACGTTGCAATCTATCAGAGACTTCGGAATTATCCGAAGAGGTGCTATTTTTTTACAACATGGAAAAATATGAATTAAATAAAATAATTTGAATTGTCATTAAAAAGGTTTTTTGAAACCCTTTGCCTACCTTGTTAATCTTTGTGCGCTTGTTTTGATTGCTGGTAGATGTGCTGCAGCTGCTGTTGTTGTTGCGGGTGGGACTGTCGCATCTTCCTCCTGCTCCCATGGGCATACGGACAATTGAACTGGAGTTGTGGAGGCTGCTGGTACAACAGCCGCAGCAGCTGGCACTGGTTTGGGCGCTTGTGTTGTCGGTGGCTCATCCGGTTCATCCCATGGACATACCGCACTACTACCACCACCAACCTCAACGGTGGTCTCCAAGCGTCCAGTTTTCCCTTTGGGTGTGTCTCTAAACAGTTTATAAAAACAAGATGTTAATACATAAGTATGCTGTAGGTTTGAATAGAACATTTAGTTGGTGTCGGAACATAGATTACAACATTTAGATGGTGGTGAAAATTCAATGCTGTTGAGGGTTTTATTTTCATAATTTGGAAATTATTTATTCCCATCAATGCGGCAGTTTTTGTATTTATAAAAGCAAAAAACAATCCATGTTTGGTCATGATATAACGTTTGGAATATTCCTTATCGGTATAAAATCCCTTGCCGAGTATATTGAAAACCAAGAAGGAAATAATCGGCAGAGGACAAGGTTTAGAGATGATGCACTATTTATGTAATATCGAACGAATATATATGCATATGTGGAGGCTATATCGAAATCTGAACCGATTTTCCCGAAACATACCATACATTATTCTACACTCAATCCAGATTGCTATGCAAATTTCATGCAAATCGAAGAATATATAGTGACCATTTACATAAAATCGGACGAAAATATATATAGGAGCTATATCTAAATCTGAACCGATTTTCGCGAAACTTAACACACATCACTCTAGACTTCATTCAGTACGCTATGCCAAATTTCGTTCAAATCCAAGGATATATATGGACTTTGGTGCTCTTGTGGTGGCGCATATTTATAATGCCGACTTTTCCTAAAATTTTACCATCGAGAAGTCTCATCACCCTGATCACGAAAATATATGTGACTCT